GGGGGAGCACTGAGGTCTAGCAGAAGACAAAGGCCAACATGGGCAATGAGGCAGTGTGGGGCTCACGGGACCTTAAGAACAGCCCGGACTACCTGAGGACCTGGGGAGTGAAGGGGTGGACTGGCGTTCCCAGGTATCCAAGGAAAAGGGTGGTTCGATTCCCCACAGTCTCCCGAGAAAGCTGAAGCTACTGGAGCTAGAAGACGGCCTCTAGGCCCTTGGGGTGCTGGGGGCTGGAGGTAAGGAGAGGACCGACGCCACAGTCTGAGGGTCCAGGGCTTAGGTCTATGGAAACCGGAGGACAGAAGCAGGTTGGCCAGGCCACGCTGCTTGCTGAGCCTCACTTTGGCCCCGTGTGGCAGGGGGCCCTCGCACCACCACCTCCTGGAGGATGACAAGGCCCAGTGAGGACCTAGCTGCAGAGCGTTTGGTTTGGCTACTGGAGCACTAGAAGCCCTCACTCTGTGACTTCCTACCGCTGGCTGTGGAGCCAAAGGCACTGGGATCTGAAATGTCCTGAAGAGAGGAGCTGGCAGGGGCTTCCGAGCTCGTGACCTGCACAGTTGCATGGCGTCCCGGCTCAGAAAAGCCTGAGTGTGGTGCGGTGCTCTGCTTTACAATCTTGAAGTTCTTACCCATTTCTGAAAAAGGGGCTGTGAATTTTTATTTTGCACTGGGTCCTGCTAAGTATGTAGCGAGGCTTCCAGTACAAGATGACCTGAGGGAGAAGGCAGGGGCGCTTTCGAAGCTGGAAGGCCCTGGATGTATGCAGAACAGCAGCACAGGCTCAGTCCTTTTGTTAGTCAGCGGGGCTCCCCTAGTGTCTACTGATGTGGAGCAGAGCAGAGAGGAGAAAGGAGTCTTCTGCAGGGCACCCCAGAGGCAGGGGGGGGGTTGGGGCATTTGTACCCCCCCACACACACATGTGCAGACACAAGCACATGCACATACATGCACACACACTCACAGGGAGCCTGCAAATGTCATGCTGCTTCCATGCTGGAAGAGGAGTGGTGAGGAAAGCATGAGGATCCAGGCCATACTGAGATTTTTCACGGGCCCTCAGCACCTTATCACCGTGGACTCCTCACTCTAGAAAAGTGAATATATACACTCCGACTTCCCAACTGCATTCGTAGAAAGGCACATAATTCCCTTCCCTGCAGATGGACCCCAGGTACTGGGCCAGCTGTCCTTCGGCTGTCACTTGGACTTGGGTCCCTTCCTCTGCAATATTGCAGGCAGGCATCCTGGCCCAGTGGGGCAGTCTTGTTCCTCCTCACAGGGAGTGCTAGCCAGTTCCTGTTCTGCCCCAAGACTTTACAAGTCTGCCCTCCCACAGAGGGAACTGACAGGTGTTTGGGTTTGGCGCTGGAAGATGGGGTAATTGACAGGTGAATGACAGAGGTTGCAAATGTCTCATGGTTTGGGAGAAACCAAAGGTCTTATGTCTGCAGATGTCTGCAGCCTCACCCTGGTGCCATCTAAACTTCAATCCCTGGGACTGGGCTGCTGCCTACTCCACCCATGGAGTGGGTGGGGAGGCTGAGTCAGTGGTGGCTGCTGAGGATGCTGTCTGGGGAGAAGAAACATCACTGTCTGTCTGGAGTTCCAGGAAAAGCCACCTGGAGTTGGGGGAAGCTGTGTGTCAATTGCTCACGTAGCCAGGAGAGTGGACGGATGGGATTCCCCAAGGGAAGCCCTGCTTCTCTGAAGCTTCCCTCTGTGATCCTCTCTGGTCTCCTCTCGCTTCCCTCTATAAAGACAGGAGGTCATAGCATGGCCTAATCAGGAGCTTCATCCCAGTCCTCCTACTTTCCCAGCCTTAGCTGCTGCCTATACCTGGGCAGGGGGTGGAAGGGAGGCTACCTGAGAATGAAAAATAGCCTGGCTTGGCTGACTCTTCAGGTCTCATCCTTAAGACACAAGGTCCCAGACCCCTTTCCCCCAGGAATGAATCAGTGAATGAATGAATATTCAACCTTTGCTGGTCTGTCACTCCTTCTGCCCCCATGGTCAGGAGATAGAATCCAACCGCTTCTAAAACAGGGAGGAAAATATATCAGAAGGAAAATCTGAGCTGAGTTTGGACAAAAATTATTGAGAAAGTTCCCACCGATTGCTTCCATTTTCTCTATGAAGAGAGAGGAAGGTCGGGGGTGGGGGTGGGCATTGATCCAATGGGATTTGTGGATGTGTGCCCGGCTCCTGTGATGTTTTTGGTGGTGATTGTCACAACTAATGCTTCTGGAGCAATTACTACAGGCCAGGCACTAAGCTCTTGTTTCACTCACGAGACCTCCTTGGTCTTCGCATTCACCTATGGACAAGTACCTCAGCCAGGACAAGTGAGGCCACACGGCAGAGACAAATTATCCTCAGTGACATCCAGGCACCTTGGCTTGTTTCTTTCTCATATTTTATGTCCACCCACCAGCAAGGCAGGGGGAAGAAGTATGGAGGTTTGCAAGTCTAAGAATCCAAACAGGTCTGAAAGACTGAGAAGGAAAGAAAGGAGGGTCCCGAGCCTACAGTAGAATTCAGGTCTAGAGAGAACGCCAGGAAGATAATGGGAGGGAGGGGCAGAGACTGGGACTCCGCTGTGTGAGATTGCAGGGGTGGAGTAGTAGCAGCCTCGATAACAGCCAGGTGTGGCTCTGAGTGTGGTGGCAGGGTTGAGAGCAAAGGTCCCAGAGCTGAGGAGGATAAAGGGACACAGATGGAGCCACACAGCCCTGTGTGGGAAAGAACAAGACCCTGGATACAAACCCTGCAGCTTCCTAGGGTGCACGAGATGAGCCTAAAAAGGGCGCTCTCATGGTCAGACGTGAGAATGTAACTAAGACCTCACACTCTCATACAGAGGAGAGCTGGAGAAGTGTGGGATGTACAAGGGTCACCTGGTGTCTCAGATGACAGCAACCAAGAGGCCTAGAGACTCAGGCAGCCAAGGGCTGAGGTCTTTTACACCTTCCCGTGCTTCACAGTGCAAGAGACAACGTATGCAAGCCACTGCTCAGAGCCCCTACAGGTGCAGCTACTCCAGCTCTGTGAAGATGAATGCCCAGTGGGCACCTGTCATTTTCATTATCATCTTACAGATGAGGAGAAAGAAGCACAAGGGAGCTGCATGATGTGGCCCAGGTTGTATCACTAGTGTGTACATCACAGGTGTGATGGGAACTCAGTGAGCTGGGTTAAGAGATCGCACTCTGCAAGCTACACCAGTGATTTTCCACTGGGAGTGAGCCTCAGAATTGCCTGAGTGGGGTGGGTGAGGGCTCATTAAGCCAGAGGCTGAGTCTCTCCCCTAGAGTTTCTTTCCACCCCTCCCCCTAGAGTTTCTTATCCAGCTGTTCTGGAGAGGAGCCCAGAATTTCCATTTCTGATCAGTTTCCTGGTGATCCAAGACTAACTACCTTTAGAGAACTTTGTCAGGCCATGAGTGTGTGCATGTGTGCATGTGTGTGAGGAGGGTGGAGGATTAGTAGAACTAGGGGACAAAATAGAAGCTCAGTCTCTTCTTGGCCCTCAGGAACTAATGTGCAATATAGAAAAATGGACCCTCTTCAAGGAGAGATCAGCAAGACAAGTTCCACTTAGGTTAGGGGACGGAGACATTCAGGGTGCTGAAGTTTAAGAGGAGGGTATTTGGCATGACTCAGGGGCTCCCTCGGGCACAGCAGGAAGAGGGAGATGGCACAGAGGGCAGGCAGGGAGATGCAAGAGGGCTATGGGTAGAGCACTGGCAAGGAATGCAGGGCTTGTTCAAGGCAGCTGTGAAGAGAGCAGTGTAGGCAGGCAGTGCCCTGAGGTCTCCCACAGGTCAGTGCTCTCTAGCCCCTTTCCAAAGATTTCCTGCACTACTGTGACAGAGAGGAGCTGGGACCCAAGGAGAACTCAAAGAGCCTGTGGCCTCTAAGGAAGAGAGAAGAGAACGAAGGGGTGAACCTCTGCAGAGCCTGGGTTTAAAAGCTTAAATTTGCATGTAAGCAAAGCAACCAACCTTTCAGCTTTTGAAGAAAACTTACTGTTCCACTCCATGGCCTTTACCCCCAGTGCATAGCCCACCTCGGTTCCAGCACAGTCTCTCCTGCAGTTTGCCGCCCAGCTTCATTAAGAGCTCTGCCAGGGATCAGTCCCAATCACCTCTCTAATTGGGCACCAGCTGTGTTTTCTCTCCACAAGGACTCCTTTATGGGACTTCTACAATGCACAACATGAAAAAAAGTCACAGTTCTGGGATTGTATGATCTTAAACCCAGGAATGCTTCCTTGCCATGCAAATAAAGAGTGCATCTCTCACTAGGACCCAGAAAATATTTTTGAAAAGTGAGGAGGAGGGAGGATTTGAACAGCGCAATCTCCATTTGTTTAGGTTCTGAATATGAATGTTGATTGTGGTTTTGGAGGAATGTGAGACTTAAGACATTAGGCTATGAATGGCCCCATTTAGGAACAGTCACCACTGATTGACAGGATGACTCTTGCTTGCTAGTATTCGCTGAGCCCTTCACATGGTCCCTGCCTTACACCAAGCACTGGAGCTGGTTATCTAGTGTAAATCTGGCAAAATCCTATGCGATAGATATAAATGTCCTCTCTGTTTTCATGTCAGGAAACTGAGGCCCTGTACAGTGACATAACCTATGTTCAAAGTCTAGCTGTTCACCCACCGTGAAGTGGCTGAAATGGAACTGAAATCTAGATTCATCTCGTGCCCCATTCTGTGGGGCTAACGTGCTCCATTTGGGGCGACTTCAGTATCCCCGATGACTCCTCCCCTTTGCACAGAGCTTCAGGGTCACGAAGTCCTCTTATGGCTGCTGCCTCAAGTGACCGGGCAGCCCTGTGAGGTTGGCAAAGCAGCCCCGCAGTCTCCCTGTCACCAAGGAGGGACCCAAGGCACCAAAGTTTGTGATGTTTACCCAGGTGTGCACCGGCAGTAAAAAGCAGAGTCCAATCTCCCTGACTTCTGTGCCAGAGCCAGTGTGTTCTCCTGCCCTCCCCACCCTTCTGATACAGAGCTGTCAGAGACAAGTGTGTTTTGTGTGTGCATGCGCGCGCGTGCAATCCATCCTTCTGTTCATCCACACTGTCACGTTGCACTTCTGTTTCCCTATCTTTATTATCTGTGTGTTTACTCGTTGCTGTCAGTGCCCTCTCCTTCGGATGTAACCTTCATGTGAGCAAGGCCTTGTCCTCTTTGTTTTTAATGGTTCTGAGGATTGAACCTAGAAACCTCACTGAATTGTGGCCCTAGACCCCATGCCCTTGCTGTGACAGGGTCTTGGGAAGTGGCTAATTAACCCAGGCTGGTCTCAAACTTGAAACCTTCCTGTTTCAGCCTTCTAGAATGCTGGGATTCTAGGTGTGTGCAACCCTGTCTGTCTGACCTGGTCTGTCCTATTTTCAGGCCTCCAATGGTACCTACCACTTAGAAGTTTCTTTATTAATACTACTGTTTAAATAAATATTGGTTTATTTAAATAAATTTAAATCAATATTGATTTATTAGCTCAATAAACATGGACTGGACATCTCCCGTGTGCTGGGCACATGGCTGTATGGGAGATGGCAGGGAACCAGATGGACATGGTTTCCATCTCCATGGAGCTTTATCAGGAAGAGGGCATGGGAGGACTGATAGGCCAGTAAATAAGGCCATTGCTGATGGGATTTGCCAGCTTGAGACTTAACAGAGTGGTGATGTGATGGAAAGCTCCTGTCCTGGAGGTGTTCACATACTAGCAGGGCTGACCTCATAGCCAGCAGGGGCAGGGGGCTTTGCAAAAACAGGCAGGGTGGGCAGAGCAGGTGGACAGGGGTGGGGAGGAGCCGTCAAGGAGACAACTCCAGAGGGGCTCACCTCAGAGAGGCAGGGAGGAGCATGGGCCTGCAGGCGGCAGGTGGCCCAAGTGTGGGGTGGGGAGAGAAAGGAGAAAAGAGGAGGAGGAGGAAACAAGCGTGGCCCAGGTCCAAAAGGGCTGTGTCGGGATGGTTCATTGTCCGCATGAACTTGACCAAGCTCATGAACTTGACCGGCACAGTGTCCGGATGTCCAGACTGTGGTGAAGGTGTCACTGGACATGCAGTAGTGTATCTTCCACCTGCTGACACTAAGCAGAGCAGTTCCCTGTGAAATCTGGGCAGGCCTCACCCAGTGGGTTGAAAGGCTTTGAGAGCAAGACAAACTTTTTGGGGAGAGGAGCCCTGCCTGTGGGCTGCAGCCTGTCCCCGGATCTCAGATGGTCTGCCAGATCCCACAGTGGCAGAAGCGATCCCTCGAAATAAATCCTTCGATAGATAGTAGGCAGGTAGGCAGCTAAGAGCATAAACAGGCTCCTTATCTGTGACCAGCTCTGCTCCTCTGGCAGACCCCGACTGACTGATATGGCGTCCAGCTCGCACACCAGCTCAGATCCCGTCCTTAGCATGAAGGGCAGTGCTATGGAGGGTTTGAGCTGAGGAGTAGCAAGGCTAGATTTGCCTCATGAAAGGCTAGCTCTGCCTGCAGGGTGAAGTAGATTGCAAGGGGCGAAGATATTGGAAGCAGCTCCTGAACGAAGTCTTAACGGTGTAAGTGGCCTGCAGAGGGGAACCCGGTGGGAGACGTTGTGAAAGCAGAATGGTAAGGTGTGGTGCCCAGTTACGGTGGAGGGTGAAGGAGAAGGACTGCGACGAACTCCAGGTCCATGGGCATCATGGCCCTGGATCGTGAATGCCCCGAAAGCAGGACTCTGCACTGTGCCCTGTCGTGCCCATTGCACCTTCCTTGTACTCCTTACGCAGCTACCGAGTGCATGGTGGTGCTCAGGGAGCATCTGGTGAGGTCCTGAGGATGAGGATCGTGCGGTGACATGGGGCTCGCTGTGGTTGGGAAAAGCTGGCAGACCACCAAGGGCAGCCAGGGGCCCAGAGTGGAGAGAGAGGGCATCACCGGACTGAGCTCTGGGACAGATGGTGAGCAATGATAGATAGACGGGGACAGGTAGAGAGTTCTGGGAATCGGACCCCAAAGGTTCAGTGGCCCTGAGAGTATGAGGTGAGGAGAGAGGAGGGCAGGCCCTGAAGCCTGGACAGAATGCAACACGGAAGGAAGGATGGATCCCCAGCAGAGACTGAGAAGGGGCCAGAGGGAGGAAGAAGGTTGAGCATGCGCAGCAGGGAGTCTGCAAGGGCGACATGCTCCCACACAAGGATTTGCAGCCTTCCCCTTTGAAGCCAGGAGGGAGAGGTAGCACCTGTCTCCTGATCTTCCCTCCAGAGAGCCAATCATTCATTCCCAGCCCGTTCCAAAGGGCCTGACACCAAGGTGCAGAGAGGTGAAGCGAGTTCAAAGTCATCGCACAGCAAAAGAAGCTGCCCCCTCCCCGTGCCTCTGTAAGACAACACCTGTTCAGCCCACAAATCACCTTTTATGACATCGCAGACCCAGACTGAAAGCAGGGTTGTGCCGGGAGGGGCCGGGCGCTGTCCAGGTGGATCACAGATGACTGCAACGTGCGTTCCTGCTTTCGAGGTGAGCGCCTCCAGGGCATGAGGGAACATTTTCTCAAGGGGAACCACCTTCCTCTGAAAGAGCTTGTTCCAGCTGAGTTGACAGGAGAGAGAAATGGGGCCTCTTGGGCCTTCTGCCAGAGCACAGAGCAGAGACGCCCAGAGGTGGCTCCGGCTGCAGCTTCCCCGGGCCCTGTGGGCCATGCCAGCTCTTCCAGCTTCCTTGCTAACTAAATCGGGACTCTTGCACAGCAGGCTCTGTGTTCATCCTTTTGTGGACAGAAATTATTTAGTCCTCACAGCACTGTACCAGGCATATGTGCCTATTGCCCTTATTTAAGGGTGCAGACATCAAGGCCAGGGAAGCAAAGTCATTTGCCAGAACATCCCAGCTGGTTCTGGAGCAGGGAGAACTTGAATGCTTGACTCTTGGATCCGGGGGTGGACAGCCACAGAGCCTTGGAGGTGGGTTCAAATAATCCAGGGGGCTGGGAATGAGGGAAGTCAGCCTTCTCTTTCTACCTCTGGAGCTTAGGTTTTTTGCCTCACCTACCTGAGATTCAGTTTCCTCAACTGTAAAATGTTGTCTACTTCATAGGATGGAAGAAACTATTTTTAAAGTATCTTACAGAGCACCACCAGCCAAGGATCGGTGTCCCAGCAGTGAATTCTCCCCCTTTTCTTCCTGTTGGTAGAGATGTGTCCTTAATCCTGGGTTGGCACATTAGGGCAAAAGCACTGAACTCTGAAACATATCAACTGGGTATCTAATGCACTTCAGATACTTAATAGTTATGGATTTCAAACAAGCCATTGCCCCTTCCCAGAGCCTTGGATTGATTCATTAACTCTAAAGTACAGAAGAGTGTCTGACTCTCCAAAGGCGTTTGGGCAATGGTGATCCCTTCCATCCTAGGCAGACTTCAAAGGTTGCCCATGGGCTCTGTTCCACTGAGCCATGATGCCTGCAGAGACCCCTGAGATCCCTGAGACCCCTTCTCTACAGATTTCCCCTGTCTGGCCATGATCCCTGAGCCAGTCAGGAACTGTGCTGTGGGCCAACTCACCAGTCTCAAGAACATACTTGCTGAGAGGCAGAGCCTCTGATTAAGATAACAGACTAACCCTGGGGTACATTTGTATTACTGAGAGTAAATTCTTACGAGGAGAGTTTGTATGGGTGTTTCTTATTATTTTTGTTGTTGTTGTTGTTGTTAATCAGAAAGTACAGGTAAGTTTGTTGTTGTGGTTTTGCATTTGGAGTTTTGTTCTGTCTTAAATCGGGTAGAGTGAGGATAAAAGAGCATAAGACAGAAGGCTGATCTTATATCCAGGAGACAGTAGGAAGGGGACAGCTAGTGTGAGGGAATTAGCTTGAAGCCCAGTATTAAGACAAGAATACTGTGCCGGAAGACCGCCTGGTTAAGGGACTTGTCTGTTCTTACAGCTCGTGAATGGCCAAACTGAGATTCATGTCCTAGCAGGTTCATCTCCAGAGCTTTCATCTATGGTGTGAATATGAAACCCATTTATTTAATGCAAAGATGATTCCTGAATGCCTCCTCCTCTGCCCTGGGCCCCATTTTCAGAGCTGTGAATGCAGTAGTAAACAGAACTGCCCAAATGACCGGCTCCTGCAGCTTTGTAGACTACTGCACCCTGCTGAGTGCCTGGTACCCTGGGGGCAGTGAAGTCGAATGTTAATGGGTTTTATTGACACTGACAGGGGGCATGTCTGGGCCTTCAATCCATGGCTGCTTAGGTGGCAAAAGCCCTTCCATCACCTTGATCCTTTGTGTCCTTAAAGGAAACACAAAGATAATAACAGCTACTTCTGATGGTCCCTGTGAAGTCTAAGCAAAATCACATTTATGAAGAGTCTAATACAGTCAGAAATTGTAGTTAGTATTACTAATTCTGTATTCTGCAATAATCCTATGAAGTTGGTACTCTTTCGTTCTTTAGCCTGGAAGTAAATGGAGTCTGAGAGGTTAGATAACTTGCCCAAGGTCACAGCTAGCCAGGGATAAAACTCACACTCGAGTCCAGGACCACTCAGCTGTGTTCCCCAGGCATAGCTCTGTGGCCCCGTCTCCCAAACTCACAATTGGACGAGCCAGAGGATTGCAGAAAATCGTGCTCCCCTTTGGCGTCTTATGCAACAAACCATATGGACCCACAAGCTCTTATATAACAGGCCCCATGCGAACAAGAGGAAGTTTAACAACAACCCAAAAAACAGATCACATTCACAACAGACCACCATATGTTCCCCCACTCCCTGACAGCAGCCGTCCCCACTCCTACTCTTGCGCCCACAGAAATCTTCTCCACGAAAACAGTTTCATTCCCAAGTGACTCAAATGATTGATGCCTTTAAAAAAAGAAAGGGTAGAAAAGAATCCGTGCTGCTTCCAAAGAAATTTCTAGTCTTATTAATTCTTCCAGAGAGCCCAGAAACCTTCAGTCTCCCTTTCCTGGTCTTTGCTTGGAAACAGAAGGTCCTCTGTGCTATAAGGCTCATTTTTAGGTGACAGAAGCTGGGACGGTTTTTGGTTTCCGCACCTACAAGCCACATGGCCCCCGTCGTCCGGGTCCTTTTGCCATGCATCCTCCCATGCTCCTTTGTGTCTTGGTGAGCTCATGCTCAGCTCAAGGGCATCAAGTCTGCAACAGGTTTTCTGAAAGAGCCACTTCTGAAACTGAGCCCAATTCTAGAAGACTGGTTTGAGCTGTGATCCATGAGCATTGGAGGAAGGTTTCCTGTGCGTGGCTCCAGGGCAGGCCCCATCCTCCCACTCCACAGCCTCCGTCCCGTCCTCCCACACATGCCCCTGCTCTGCAGCCAGAGTGATCCTGCTGCCGTGTAGATCTGACCATGTAGCTCCACTGCACAGCACACAAACACGGCCTTGGGCAGGTGGGGCAGACTGCACTCACCCCGAGGCCCAGCGCTCCTGCACCCGCTCCATCTGCCTGCTCCTCTCCCTCTGAGCTTGGCGGCACGGCTTCCTCTCCATGTCTCTATCTCTGTTTGCTCTTCCCTCTGCTCAGTGTGATCATCTCCCTCGACTCACTCCCCTTCCTCCCAATCTCAGCTTAGCTGTCACTTTTCCAAAGGAGCTTATGGTCCGCCTGGGGCCTCCATCTCAGAAAGTCTCCCAAGAGCTGAGCAGAAGTGAAAATACAGACAAATAACAGATTAGCAAAGAAAAGAAAATGCCATGGAACTGTGGTGGGAGGTGGCTTAAGATTAGAGCTGAGAAGGACAAGGACAATAATGTTTCTAGGCAGCAGGCTGACACCAGGCCTTGTGCAGGGTGTGGGGCTGGGTGGGTGTGGCTGGTGTGGAGGCAGGAGCCCCATGCCCTGGCTGGAGAAGAGTGGGAAGAGCTCTTCACTTGTTGCCTCATGGCTGTCTGTGCACAGAGGACATCACCCTGGAAGAGGTTCTGGAGACACAGGTACAACTACAGGCCACAGGGCGGTTCCTCCCGAGGCAGGCAAACATGGCTCCTTTAGACAAAAGGATGTCCACAAGTTAGAAAACAAATCTTCCTTCATACGTTGTCCTGCTTCCCTTCCTCACTTATCCAATTCTCCACTTACATTTCCTCACCCAGTTTTATCCTTCCATGTAGCCATAGCCTGTCCTTTGCATATGTGTCCATCTCTACAACGCACATTTATTGTTGGGTCTTTCGTAAGGCTGAGACAGTGGTCGACTTTTGTCCTGCCATTTATCAACAGTCATGGCTTTTCTGTGCACACTGGAAGGAAGAATGGATGGGCAGATGGATGGATGGTTGGATGGATGATAAATTATTGTTCATTAGGAGAGCCATTGGAGTCCCAGCACTAAGACTCAAGGTGCTTGTCCATTGCCCCATGGCAGTATGGTCTGGGTCACTTATCCCACCATCATTTTCCTCATTTGGGTCCTGGAGTTGAAGCCTAACACTTACCCTGCTTATCAACTACCAGTGTCTTGATGCTCAAAGAAGAAAAGGTTGGGATGGCATAAGTAAGCTGACAAATATGTCTCAAATATCGCATACTGGTCATTATATTTAAGAAAGAAGAAGAGTAGGAGCTCTTGACATGTTTGGAAAGAGGAGATGTAAGTTGCCTTAAATTCTCCTTCCACCCTCCACCTGCTTTTAGTGGGACCCCGAGGATGGGGCTCAGCAGCTCAGCTGTAGATTGCGGCGAAAACCTCTCTCAACTAAGGAGGGTTCTGAGCCAAAGCTCCTTCAGCCCTTTCCTGTATTGAAAGCTAAATAAATTCATACTTCCTAAGCCCTTTGCCACACTGTACCACAGCAGCTCCCAGCAGGTATCTTATGAGGAGAGTAAAGCAGGATTTGTAACATCTACCTCTGCAGAAAGAATGAATCTCCGAGAGCTTGCCCATCTTTCAACCCTGGATGCGGGCAGAAAGAGGACTTCACTGATGAGTTCTGGTGCCACCCTGCGGCCCACCCACCAGATTTGACCTCATGCTGATTAGGCCGTACTGTGACTACCAGCATCTCCGTCCATCTGTCCCACATCCACAGATCCACCTAGTGCCTCCCCTCCTGCTCCCCAAAAGTACATACAATTAACTTTGGATCAGACTGTTGTGTGGCCCTCCTTATTCCTTTATGCATGTATAAGGCCCAGGTCTTACTTCTCAAGTGGTGCCCTTCCTCGTGTGACTATGGAGCACAATAGAATATGCTCCACCCCTATCTTTGTCACTTATCGCAGTGAACAGTAATAGGTACCATGAAAAAGTTAGAGGGGCCAAAGGAGGTCAGGAAAGAAAGTGATTACACTGTTGACCACTAGTGCGAAAAC